CCTCAACTCTATTGCCCCCGATGAACTCTCCACTGTTATTCGTGTTATTGGTCGTTTGCAATTAATATGTTACGTCCATTTGAACAAAATTTTGATATATTTATACAGACAGGAGGCGGGCCACTTCGGCCGTGCGTAACAGGGCAAACTTGAGCCCAATGAAAAGCCGAAGCACTCGACAGAATACACTTCATCAGGGGGCTCTCGTGGCCTAGACGTTAAGGTGTTGGTCTCTCATTCAAAGGCCTCGGGTTCGAATCTGGGTAGCGACCGAAACATTTTCTTCTCTAAAATTAACTCCTTTCACCTCCTCTAGCAATGTTCTGTCGACTGCTTTCGTCTCTTCTTTCTGCCCCAACCCCCTCATCTCCTTTTCCCCCTCCTCAGGGCTCCTGGCACTTTCTGCAGCCTTTTTACTGCTTCTCCTAGATTCCTTCTTACTGCTGTCTTTCAGCCACACCCCTGATCTTCTGGTAGGAAAGATCTACACCTAGCCTTCTCGGACAAGGGCGAAAAATCTCGGAGGGCCCGTGTGCAAGTTGCGCACGTCTAAGATCCCCTTGGTGGTCTAAAATCGATAAGAATAGGCTTCGGCCGTCACCCGAGCAAAATTCAAAATTTCCGAAGAACTGAACAAGTTTAATGTGTCCCGCGCGCTCATATGACCTTATGCTGTTGCGAGCGCCCCGAAACACTAAAAAAAAATAAAATAACCAAACAAAAACACTTCAGCACGTCTTTTCCAAGGAATTGTGTTCGAGTGTTGAGCCGAAACGGCTATCGACCCTGTTGAGGGGTTAGATGATTGATTGCAACTATTAAATTAAACCCCCTTTCCCTTTCTGTTTAAGTTGAACGCAATTATTTCCTTTCAAGGACCTCTTTCGTTCTTTCGAACACAAACATACGGCACTCTAATGGTTTGATTCTTAAAATAAAAGATAAATATACATGGAGTTCAAACGGTTTTCTCACTCTTCGTTCCCCCTTTCCCCTTCTTTTTCCTTTACTGATTTTTGTCTCTCTTTCTTTCTTTTCTTCTTCTTTCTTCTCATTTTTCTCCTCCTCCTTCTTCTTCATCTCCTGCTCTTCCTCCTTCCCGTCGTTCTTCTTTTTCCTTCCCTCATTCTTATTTCCCCCCCTTTTCATTTGTGCGGCAACGAAATACTGTTCTTATGCTATTTTCACTGAATAGAGAGTGGCAGGAGACCATCCCATATTTATCCTGTGTCTTTCTTTCCCTCTTTTTTTTTTTTTTTGGGGGGGGGGGGGGGGTTCTGTCTGCCGTGCTTTTCTCCCTCCTGCACCGAATAACCGTTACAGTATCGATGTGCTTTTATTTGCTCTAAAAGTAAAGCAGCGCTGAAAATACGAGTTCAGCACGTAAATGGTAGTAAATGCGCAATATATTTATGACCATCGATTACACAGCTCGCCAGTCATAAATTCTGCAACTTACTACTTTTATGACCAATTTTTTCAAGATCTGTGGGTAGTTGGAGGGTGCTCTATTGTGTTGTTTGCTCCTTCTTTCCTATCAAACGTCTTTATAATTATATATCTCTCCTCCTTATTGTGTTTGTTACCCTCTTGTAACACCTTTAATCTTCAGCACTTATATTGCCTACTTGTATTGCAAGTGCCGTAAAACACTTGCTAGAACAAAACGTTTTCAACGTCTTTGCATGTACATACTATTGTTAACTGATTACTCTGTCGGTAGTTTCAGAGATTACTCTCAGTAGATCCTCCTTTTACCCTATCCATACCATAAATATCGTTATTTTTTCGATTGTAAATTTTCTTTTTATTACCTTCTTCAACAAGACTGGCCGCTGATGTGTCGATATATGTGTGGTTAAGTTCAAAAGAAATTTCGTAGAGGATGTGATTTATAGAGCGACCCGTGGGGCCTCTTCGACTAACCTTCGTGACCATGGTATAGATTTAATGGCCCTACAGTAAAGTGTTCGGTTGGGTTTTTTTAGCACGACCGTAGCATGAGTTTACACAGAGGAGGAGGAGGAGGAGGGGGAGGAGGAGGAGGGAGGGGAGGAGGAGGAGGAGGAGGAGGAGGAGGAGGAGGAGGAGGAGAGGAGACATCGTCATCATCACCATCATCAATATCATTATCACCATCATCATCCACCAACAGTACCCCTGGCTCACTAACACCGCTCTCACACCCAGCAGAACACCGTGGCAGTAGACGCCCTGATCAGTTTCCGTGAGAAAAAAAAGCAGCTGTCCCTTGAACAAATCCCCTCCACACCAGTCTCTTTCCCGCCTTTCATCCGGACCACAAAGAGGCGGGGACTAGGACAAAATGACCGAGGATCGATCTCATCGATTTCCTTTCTGACTAGGCCTTCGGGTCGGAAGTGTGATCGCTATGAAGGGATTGGCCAAGGAAATGAAAAGATGACATTTCCCTTCGTTTTTTTGTTTTTGTAAGTTTCAAGGCACTTACAATACAATTAGGTCAAATTATAGGCCTACGTGCCAAAGATTAGGGGTGTTATTTGGTTTTGTAAAGTGTTTTACGGCGCTCGCAACTGCATAAGGTCATATGAGCGCGCGGGACACACCTACTATTTTCAGTTGGTAGGAAATTTTGAATTTTGCCTTGGTGGCGGCCGAAGCCTACTCTTATCGATTTTAGACCACCAAGGGATCTTTAACGTGCCCAACTTGCACACGGGCCCTCCGAGATTTTTCGCCCTTGTCCGAGAAGGCTAGGTGTATATCTTTCCTACCAGAAGATCAGGGGTGTGGCAGAAAGACAGCAGTAAGGAGGAGCCAAGGAGTAGCAGTAGAAAGGCTGCAGAAAGAGTCAGGAGCCCAGAGGAGGGGGCAGAGGAGGTGAGGGGGTGGGGGCAGAAAGTGGAAATGAAAGCAGACAACAGAACTTTGATAGAGAGCAGGAAAGGAGGGGAAAGGAAACAATTTTAGAGAAGAAAATTTTTTGGTCGCTACCCGGATTCGAACCCGGGACCTTTGAATGAGAGGCCAACCACTTAACCTCTAAGCCACGAAAGCCCCCTTAGGGGTGTTAAAAGGGAGTAACAAACACAAAAAAGAAGGAGAGATAAGGTAGGTAGATGTTTGATAGGAAAGAAGGAGCAAACTACACCAGAGCACCCGCCAACCACCCAAACATTTCCCTTATCACGCTAGACGCAAAGTCGGAGAGCTCTCAGTTCAATGAAATACACCTCACAGCAATTCACAGCATTTTGTAGGGCACTGTAAGCTCAGTTGGTATCATGCAGGACGACAGAGTGTTTGGCCCAGGTTCGAATCTGCAATGGTGAGTTCTGAAACTACGTTGTTTCGGGGAGTTTTTACGGCTCTCCATACCAACTATTTGACTCAAACCTATCGGAGATGGACGTAGATTTCTGAAGTGCCACTTCTTAAATAACCATAGAGTGTTTGTCTCTCATGGGGATGATGTGTTATAATATTTACAGTCTCTCTCTCTCTCTCTTTCTCTCATTTATGTCGATGGAGATATGGAGACTTAAAACATTCATGGTCTGCCTCTCTCCCTCTTTTTCTCTCCTCTGTCTAAATTGTGCCAATCCCCCACAATCCCTCTCTCTTTCTCTCTCTCTCTCTCTCTCTTTCTGGTGGATTTTAAGTTAATAATTTCTTAAATCTCTCTCTTTCTCCCCTTACCCTCTCTGTCTATCGGCCTATTTCTCTCCTCGTATCCCCCTCTCTCTTTCTCTCTCTCTATCTGGATTTATAACATTTATAACCTCTCTCTTTCTCCCCCCTGTCTGTCTGTCTCTCTCTGAATGTGTTGATGGGGATGGACTTAAAAATTTTTTTTTTGTCTCTTAAATCACTCTCCCTCTTTCTCTCTCTCTCCCTTCCTCTGTCTCTCTCTCTCCCTTCCTCTGTCTCTCTCTCTCCCTTCCTCTGTCTCTCTCTCTCACACTCTTTCTCTTTCTCTCTAAATTGTAACCACCGGGACGGGGATGTAAAGATTTACATTTACGATCAATCTCTAGAAAAAATGCAGTAAATTTCTTTCACAAACATGGCACTAGTCACTAAACTCGGAAGGGGGGGGAGGGGGGGAATAACATCATCATCGTCTTCATCCTCATTGTATCATTATCGCCACTGGCACTTTTATTTAATAATAATAATAATGGATTGCATTTATATAGCCCATATCCACTTATGCAATGCTCTATGCGCTTAACATGATACATATAATGGATTTACAAATCAATTTTAAAGGTACATAGTGTTACATACTCATGCAAACACATATTCACTCACGCACGCGCCACACACACATACATACTCACATACACACATACGTACATATGCACATACGCACATACAAACTCACAACGATCTGCAGCTTGGATGCATTCTGTCTAATCGAAATATGATGAAAATAGAAATGATTTTAATTTCTTCTTTAAAATTTCTAGATTTTCTGCTTCTCTGATAGTTTTTGGAAGCCTATTCCAAACAAGTGGGGCAAAATATGAAAAAGAGCGTTGGCCATCACTATCTTCAGCACCACCATTATTATTCTCAAAATCATCTTCACAACCATTATGACCATTATTATCTTGTCAATATTATTATAATCATCATCATCAAAAAATTATTAGCATCGTCATCATTAGCAGTAGCAGTAGCAGAAGCAGTAATAGTAGCAGAACCAGTAATAGTAATAATGGTGTCGGTGGTGATAGCAGCAGCAGCAGTAGTAGTGGTTGTAGTAGAAGTAGTATTATCATTATTTTTATTATATTCTCAAACAAACTGACTCACCAAGAGCGGCAGCAGAGGGGGTAATGATGGACAAGAACTCCAAGGAAGGGTTGGCTTCCTGCTTTGATGGCGATCCTCGAAGACTTTTCCAGAAGTTCTAATGGGTGTTGAGGAAAGAAGAGAAAATGTATGGACCAATTTTTACACTTTATTTGAACAAAACAGAAGTTCATGAACATAACAGCGGTCAATAGCTATACTGATTTCTTAGTGAAGGTTATGCACTAATTTCATTTTTCATTAAGTGTTGTTTTTTAAAAGTTCAGCCAATAACATATACTATAACTTTCCTCTGGGAGATGGAAGGAGGGCATCGCTGGAAGAGTCTTCTTTCAATATTTCTAGATTCTATTTGTCTCTTTCACTTTTTCTTTACACTAAATAATTATCTTTGTATTGATGAGCTTTTCCTTAGCCCAAAAACACCTTTCACCTTCGGGAAACCCATTACGAACAGTCAGATTTATACAAAAAGCATGGTCACTAAAATTTTGGACAATTTTGTTCTTCCAAAGAGGCGGTGTGCAAGAAGTCGTCACTGACTACATCTATGCCAGTTTGCCAAAGACCACCCAGAGCATTCAAAACAAAACAACCCAAATCACCCAGAAAAACATCCTCTAGCATCATCCTGAAAATGATTGTGAATGTTTGGATTATTTAGGAGGTGGGCTGGCCTTAGGATACTGCATTCCAGCAGACAGATGGAAATACGCAAGAGAAATGAATAACATTCCTGAGGAAGAACTGAACTCACGTCTACTGATGCAGTGGGGAAGAGTCTAGTTATTACTACATTGCAGTGTGGACGAGTCTAGTTATTACTACATTAAAGGCGTAAATGTCCTAGAGTAAGATACCTAGCAAACTGTCTAGCAATTTAGATTCCTTTGAAATTTTTAATCACACACAGCTGAGAGGAAAAAATATTCATAGCAAAATGAAAAAGTAATTTACACACTCCTTGGATTCAAACCTCAAACTTTTGCGAATTGGTGAAAATTGTTCCCTATAATGCACATAGCTAGCATCGGTGATCTAGAGGTTAAACTCTCAGACTCTCGGCCTTTTGTCCTTCGGAAAGGCATTTTACACAAATTTTTCCTCATGTCCTCCAGGTGGGAATGGGTACCTTGCTACAGACAATGAAAGATTTTGTCAGTTTGTTAGAATGTTTGAGCACTTGAACTAGTGCATGAACTAAATGCTTCCCAGGAAGTCAAAAATGTTTTTGAGTTTTCTACGGTCTGCTGGGGTATTAATAGTTGATAAATTGCAAAAAACATGCTGTAGGGAGGTGATGTGCATGATATAAATGCAATTATTATCATTATTATTTCTGCCTAAATTCTGCTCAAAGTTCAAAACAATAAACAATGCGCTTATGCACTCAAAATTCAAAATAATAAACTATTCAGGTACAAGTAAGAATGTTAAAAATGACAGCTTACCTCGTCAAAGTCCAACAAGGAGCCCAAAGAGTCAGCACTGAGGAAGAAAAGGATAATGGACAATAAATATGACGGTATATGCATCGCAGCGTGGTGGAATCAGATGCTCAACAAAAGAATGAAATCGAAGAAACCAATAACTTACACCTGTTGGGCAATTCTTCTCAAATTTCATTTTTAGCACATCTTTTAGGTCCATTTAAGAACACATTTCTGTATGGATTTTACCAAAAAACATTGAGAAAGGCACAAATTAGGTACGTTTGCAGTTTTTATTAACACTCAAACTTTAGAAGTCGCTAAACTTTGGCGGCCATTTTCTCACTAATTTTACCACTGACACAAGGAGACCCCACCCTTTTCTATCATAAATATCTTGACTTCTATAAAAAAAATGAATCAGTGTTTTTCAAAATCAAAATCAAGACAAGTGAATAAGCTTGAAAAGATATTTTAAGTAACTTTAAGCCCAAAAATTGAGAGCCTAATGTCACTGTGGCGTGACAAAAATATATATTCAAAATTCCTACTGATACAGTCTAGATCATGTAGCAGTCTTTGACCAACCTCCCAAGGGCAATCTGAACAACATCTGTCTCCATCATTGCATCCAATTAGGAGGAAGCACATTTATAATGAATACAAATTAAATTTTAATGATGTAATCAAGCTATTATGAGGTGATATAACTATATTATCATTAAAGAATACTAATGCACATACTTCTGTACATGTGCACACAGAAGTATACAAATACACTAAAACACATGAACACACTACATTCTACACACACAGTTCCACTTAATTAATCAAGATACTGTGACACAGTTCCACTTAATTAATCAAGATACTGTGAGGTGATATTACTATACTTACTACTAACACACACACATCTGCCCACGCGCATTGTGTAAGACTCCACTATACACCATTATGAAAAGTGATGTACGATGGAGTTTTACACTGAGCAGTCGACATGAACACAGGTAAACACACACATAGACACACACACATGAGCGTGCACAAACACACCACATACAAAATGAATGCACACACACGAGTGTGCGCGCGCATACACACACACCCACACACACACATGAGTGTGCGTGCGCATACACACACAAACAAACAGCCATGTAAACTGACCGGTCCTCTCCAGACAGGAGATGCTGCACAGTGATCATGTGATCAACGTCCTCCTGGTTGACCACCATGGTGCTGTGACTCGCTGCCTGGACTGCCCTCTCGTTCTTGTCGCTATCCTGTAGGACAGAAAGATCAGGGTTTGCTGATGTGTTTTTACAAGTTTTAACACTTAGCAGTCACACAGCCAACAGTACAAAATACCCCGTCCGGTCACCCAGCCAGTAGAGTGACTGCAATGGACTTCTTGGGCCTGTCGCAACACTGCTTCAAGTGACCGAAATGGATAATTTTCACCTTCGCATTATTGCGGCAAGTGACAGCAAAGTGTTTAAGGCACTAACAGCACAATTAAGTCATATAAGTGCTGAAGATTAGAGGAGTTACTAGACGTACAAAGAAAATAAGGAGAAATAAGGATGATAGGTGTTTGAGAGGAAAGACAGAGCAAATTACACCAGGGCATCTACCAACCACCCACACTATTTGTAATATGCTGATGTATGGAATAAGTATGTGCACAACAAGCTACATTGCTGCATGTCCCAACTGGGCTGGGATTTTTTTAGATTTGTTAATAACAATAATAATCATGATGTAGATAATTTTTACAGCGCCTACTTCTGTGTACATACAGTTCTAGGTGATTTCCATAAATACCAGTACAAAGAACAATAACTGTGGAAAAGATCAATAATTGCTCATGTAGGCCTAGATGAAGAAATTACCGACACAAACACACACACACACACACACACACACTCATTCACAAATGTACCCACACACACACACTCATTCACAAATGTACCCACACACACACACATTCATGGCGTCACTTTTCACCCGATTTCGTTATTTTGAGTTAGCATGACTCAGCAGTCCATAGGCGTTCCAAGGCTTGGGGTCAATGAACCATGGAGCAACTTTCCAGAGAGAGAGAGAGAGAGAGAGAGAGAGGGAGAGAGGGAGAGAGGGAGAGAGGGAGAGAGAGAGAGAGAGAGAGAGAGAGAGAGAGAGAGAGAGAGAGACAGACAGACAGACAGACAGACAGACACACAGACAGACAAACAGACAGAAGGAGAGACAGACAGATAGACAGACAAGTAGATAAATAGACAGACCGACAGACAGACTGAGGGAACCTAAAAGCTAGAGACAATCAAGGCGTGATACCTTCTGAGTTTTCCACTTCTCCTTTGCGGTGATCGGAGCCGTCTTGGGTCTTTTCCCCCCTGAGGTGCTGCCTGCACTGCGTAGATTAGGGCGGTACCATTTCTTCAAGTACGTGTGTCCACCAAACTTTGTCTTTGACCATCTGGTGGGAAAATTTGTTTGTATGTTTGTTTATAGAGATGGGAGGAGGTATAGGATGGGGGTGTGTGTAAGTATGTGGGGGTGGGGGGGGGGGGGAGAGAAAGGGAGATAGGTAGAGAGAGAGGGTAAGGGAGGGTGAGAGAGGGTGAGGGAGAGAGAGGGAGAGAGAGAGAGAGAGAGAGAGAGAGAGAGAGAGAGAGAGAGAGAGAGAGAGAGAGAGAGAGAGAGAGAGAGAGAGAATGGAGGAAATGGGGATTAAGATGATATTAATCATAATAACAATAATTACAATGATTATGATAATATAAAAATAATTATGATGAAGATGATCATGATAACATTGAAAGAAGTACTTTTTAAAATATTCAAAAATATTCATGAGTTAGACTATCCAAGTTCTTTCTCTACTTTTTCTATAAAAATGATGATGGTGATGATCGTGAGAGCAATTTTCTTTTTTTCCTACTATGTTCCCCACAGTTTCTTTCTTCTCCCCCCCCCGCCTCCCCCCATACTATAAAACAATGATCATGAGAACAATAATGATGATCATTGTTTTTTATCACGTTCCTGAAGAAGCCCCTAAGGGAATTTTCAGTTTTAGTAAGAGTTTTACAGCACTTGCAACACAATTAAACGTCGTATAAGAGCTGAAGAATAGAGGTGTTACAAGAGAGTAACAAACACAAAAAAGAAGAGGGGGGGGGAGATAAAGAAGAAAGATGTTTGATAGGAAAGAAGAAGCAAACCACATCAGAGCATCCACCAACCACCCACTCCTAAGGGAGAAATGTTGAACATA